CATATTAGCACATATTGATGATGCTGTGCTGAACAAGTCCTCTATACAAACAATGTGATCAGGTAACAATTGATATTAGTAGTGAGTGCCAGCTGACTAGGTGTTTCCAACCTGTGTTCAGCAACGAGTGCCAATTTACTCTCATCACCCTATAACAATAGGAATCCAGCAACCAACAGATGAGCACCATACCTAATGTCATACATTTATCTCACTGTTACACCGACTTCTGAGGAAGCGAGCATGTAATGTTTACTTGCTGGCTTCCTCAGAGGTGGGGGTAACATGTTGGTACATTCTACCCATGATAGCCAAGAACACTATACAGCTCCCTTTGAGGCATAGCAACATAGAAAAGTGATGACAGAAAAAGACCACATGACCCATCAGGTCTGTCTCTGTTTACTAGGGATGAGTAAATGTGCCTGAGTTTGATTCAAGGGGCGTTCATCAAACTTATCATAGATTCTGGAAATTGCGAACTTTAATCCAAAACCCATTGAAGTCTGATTAATTTCAACTTAAAGAAAAAAGTATTTTTAGGTATTTTGTACTGTGACACAGTACAATTTGTTTGTTTTTTCTCTAGCGATAATAGGCCAGAATGAATTGGTGGAAATAGCAGAAACATGAGGTCTAAAGCTGTTGCAAGGTTTACAACAACAAATAAATACAAAAAATAAAGCTAAAGTCCTCAACTTAGTATTAATTGCCAAACAGTGGCAAAAAAGTGTCATAGCATAGCTTGTGATCTTCTTTTTGTGCAGTAACACACTGTATTGTCTACAAAGTTTATATAAATGTAATCACAGAGTGCACAAAAACACTTCACAACCATAACCCCACTTTACAGAGATGAGGCAGTTGTTATGCAGGAAGAAAGATTACATTGCCATATTTCACAGATAATAGCCATACATATGGCACAGTGTATCATTTCAGAGCCAGTAGTGAGAAATGTTGTATAGACTTGCTGCACATGATGTAAGCAGTTTTACTATGCTGCAGTTGAAGAGGGAGAGACAAGGCAGGTTTTATTGTGAAAGACAATTTAGAGTGTATTATTTCTGAGACAGTACAGAAATATTTTACTCCATACACACCAGATTAGTATTTTTACTAGGTTACAATTTCAGAGGCAGGGACTGGGCAGGTTTTATCATGAAAGAAAAGCTAGAGTGTATTATTTTCAGAGACAACAACAGGAAATATTGGCTCCATTGTCAGCATTGAAGCAGTTGGAGTAGGCCACATTTAAAAAAGGACACAGAGCCTGCAGCTTTTTATCCCAACATGCACATTTAAGTGTATGTAGGGACCTGTGAGGCAATGCCATCCTATGAAATAGCAACAAAAAAGTATATGCCAGCTGCTTAAAGCTGTTTAAAACTAGCAAGAAAGAAAATGAGCATTTGGGCAGAGCTGTATACAGTCCCCAGGCTAACCAGCAACAAAAACAAACCAATCTGTTTAACTGCTCAGTTTTTGTATACACAGATTTACATTTACAGGTTACATGCATCTGCAGATATATATGGAAGCCACATTGCCACGTCAAGGCACCTCTAAAAAGTGTGGTCCCTAACCTAACACTATATGAGCTTCCAACTGTGGGACATATAGCAATGCACAGAGAGCAGGCTCAATTGGATGAAGCCCCATCCACCTAAAAGGTTAATGAAAATGAATTACTCTACACCTGGGAGGTAGAGAAGGATAAAGAAGACTTGGCTATCCTCTCAAAGGTGCACCCCAACCACTGCTTTGTCCTGCAGATGCAGAACCCCTACTACCTTCATGAAAAGGACCTTTCCTTAGGCCTTTCAGACATGATTAATACAGGAGACTGCCTTACTTTACTAGCAGCTATGGCAATAGAAGGATTGAGAATTGTTTGGCTTTGTCACACTCCACGGTGTGGTAATTTAGTGCTAACAAAGGGCAGCTTTGCACACACTTTGACAAAAGGCTTGATGGGAATTCTGACTTTATTATGAGGGGCAGGCATTATTGGCCCTTTTATGCCACCTGGCCACAGTTCTAACATCAGAAATTGTATGATTTGTAATTGGTTCCTTTGGCGGTAAACAATCCTATTAGTTCATTGTTTTCCCAAACTGTGAACACTTAAAGTTTGGGGCAAACGCAAGATCAACCTGAATCCACAGCTTATCCTTAATGTTTTTTTCCAAGGATGATAACATTTTCTTACTGTTGATTGACTCACTACCCCTGCTGAAAATCAGTTCTGAGCATCCATTACTCTTTTGGTAAGACAACACTTCTAATCTAAGCTTAGTTTTAAACTTTTTTCTAGCTATTTTGATAATGTGTCTGTGTTCTTGATCCCAGCTTTATATTTAAAATATGAACCTGATTCATACCTTTGTTGTGTTTAATAGTTTCAGTCAATGCTCCCTTTACTTTCCTCAAGGCTGCAAGTATTAAGTTCCTGCAGTCTCTCTTTTGTGACAATCATAAATGTATGTACCCACACAGACAGCAACTTTTAACACTAGTGGCATTGCAATAAGTACCATTCAAACACATAATTCTTAATTGAGAGTCAAGGAATGAATTGTGTCACCATTGGTCACAGTTTATATGACATTTGATGTTTAGTGATATAAGCTATATGGGAACCTTTTTTTAATTGAGATATATACAATATCTTAGTTACTGTCTTCATATGTTTATATTTTGAGATGAACACCTGTATTGATGACCATGACTGCATAGATTCTAATACAAGTAATTGGTCCCCAGGCACATTTGTCAACCTCGTTTAGCATTGACGGTCTGCTGAGAGCCTTATGGTTCAGGTGTACGAGTGTGATAGTTGCAGATATTTATAATCGAACAAGATGTTGGAGAGGACATTAGATCAATAATATGAAGTCTGAACTTTTGAAAGTGACATTGAATAATGTAAAGTGATCTAAATATTGACAGCAGAATTGGGAGCCCGACACCCTGTTGGTGTGAATTGTTGTACGCTAACAGCAATCATTGTTCATGGTAGACTGTTTGGGGATTTAAGCTTTTCTAGTTTGAACAATGACTATAGCTTCACCTTGGAAGCCAACAAATGACAGACAGCCACATTTCTGTATAATTTGGATATTTTTGGCACTAGGACAAAGGAAATTGACATATGAAGTGTTCTTGTCTGTGTCTCTGTTTGGGAGATTTATGTCTCCCATAGAAGAAATAATACCATTCACACCCCTGCACTTGCGTGTGAATGAGCCCTAAAAATGCACTTGTTGAAGAGATTTCCCATTAATTGCTTCCTTGAAAGGAAAAGACTGGAATTCTCCCAACAAGAACAATGAACAATTAAACCATGACCTTTCCGAGTTATCCAAAATTAAATAAAACATTTTGGAGCTTTATGTTTTTATCCATGGTACCATAGACCATCTCACTCCTGATTGTTGCTAATCTGGTAAACTGGGAACACATTTTTCTTAGCTGTCCTACCTTGGGAGTTTCAATTTGATTGGTAATTTGCACAGCTTAGTTTCAAGAAGCGAATCCATGTTTGATGAGCTCTCTAGTATATGGCTGTAGTGAATCACCAACCAGGATTAGTATCAGTTGAACCTATTTTCTGATCTGATCACGGGTGAAGCCTTTGATGGCTAGCATTGGGAGTTCAGTGACTGATTTCTCTTGTTGCCTGGAACTGCATTTTAAGAAATATTTTCATACATTAAGCAAGTCAGTAAAAATGTTGATGAAGGTCAAAAGCCCGAAACATTAACCTTATGCTATGTAAATAAGCTGTGACGCACAAGAAATAATAAATGGGATTTCTTGATCTGGCAATTGAGCTCCAAAATCTCTTTCCGATATATAGAAGGATCTGCACCGTTGGTAGATCCCAAGATATCCTGTGAGCTTCAGCATTACATTCATTTACAGGTTTGTTTAGTGCAGTTTAGACTGTGGGGATGATATAATTTGCTGCATGAATTTTATGTGTTCCCAAATGTTTAGCAAATAGACAAACTGGATGCCTGAGTGGGATAACAAAATGTAGCCTATACGTGCCTATATGTATATTCCAAGCAGAACTGGAATTCTTGCCACCAGAACTGTATACTATTCAGGCATGGCTGAATGATAACGCCCCTTTGTACAAGCTCCACCCCTTGTGTTATGTGAACAGTTTAGTAAAAAAACGAATGATAGAACTCACCATTGAAGACGCCATGCTGTCTGCTTTATATACAGTACTACATTTGAATTGTACATACCACCAAACAATAAAAAACTTCCATTAAAAAATCTAAGGGAAGAAGGGCATAAATGAGTTCATAAGTGTTCATGTAAGAAGCTGTCACACTGAGCCCTATGCACACCTGAGAGTTTTGTCACATGTTTCCTGAAGCACAAGTATGCTCAAATAAAGAATTATTTTTGGTGGTGCCCATTCACACCTGAGTGTTGTGTCTCAAAAAAAAGTACATGAGCTTCTTTTTTTTGTGTGTGTGTGTGTGGGGGGGGGGGGGTTCACGCATTTTTTTGGCCCATGGACTAATGGAAGAGCATGAAAAGCACGTGATTTTGTGCCTTTCCTCCTGCTGAAACCATCTACTATTGCTAGAAACTAGCTTTCCAATGGCTAAAGCATAAACAGTTCCAGAAAAAAACACATGAAATGTGCAAAATAAGTTTCAAAATTGCTTGAAAGCACTGATGGTCACATGTGAATAGGGACTGACAGTGGAGCTCTCCCTGTAGGAGAGCAGGATTGAA